TGGGTTTCTATATGACTATATGTACTATATTAAGGAAGCTAAAAGTTTAAGTTTAAGGATGGTTCCTCAGACAGCCAAGGTACAACGGGGAAGTTGTCTGTCGGCTTCTTGATGCGGAGCCGGTCGGCTCGTCGGCCAGCGGCAGTGCGACTGCAGCCAAGGTGAAAGCAATTGTCGCACGCGTCTTGGGGGAGGAAGAGTTGCAGGCGAGTCACTTCGCACATCTGGAGTCGCTGCCGCTGCGCATGGACCGTTCGACTTCGGCTTCGAGTTCGACTTCGGCTTCGACTTCGACTTCGAAGCCGAGACGTGCAATGATGCTGGCATGCTGTCCACTGGACCGTGCGTACTGCGGCAATACTGGCACCAAAGCAGACTTGCACCTCAGCCAGCTTCTTTCTCTGCCGCGTCGTCTTGGAATTGCTGATGGGATTCACGTTTACGATTCTTGTGGAAGGCGCACGTGGGAGGCGGAAAGAGACGAAGGTCGTGCCTCGGTTCATGGTTGGGTAACGTTTTACAGCTAAAGGGGGAACTTGAACCGAATAAGGAAAATGTACATTTTCAGTCCTATCCCAACAATGAATTAGGTGCGAGTGACTCTGCTGGTGCTCTGCCGCAGACTGAAGCTGGCAGCGGCAGCGAGACGGACAGCAGCAGCAGCAGCACAAGCTCGGCATCAACAGGGATTGGCGAGAAATTCCAGAGCCGACTTTTCCCAGAGCTGAACCAATGGACGTGGCTGTGCAAGCGTTTTAGGGCCAGGTTTCGCAGAGGCCTCGGCCGGTCGCTACTGTCCAAAGCCTTCAAACAGGCCGGCCTGAAGCAAGAGACTCAAGTCCTCGGCCCCAGTGCCACGCGCTTCTTTGTGCATAGCGTCAGATCCTTGCCTTGAAGCGAATCTTGAAGATTTTCATGTGTCCAAGTCGAGGGAGATAAGTTAAGCCGGTTTGGATCTGTATACGTTTCCGAACTTTGGAGTCCAAGATCGCTGATTATTTTGCAGCGCAATTCCTGTAGTTTATTTGTCTGTGCGGAGCAAGTTTATGCGAACTGTACTCGACTCAGGCTTCCTGGAACAAAGCCTTCGGCATTTCAGCGTGCGGTTCTGGACGTTGCAGTGGGCGGTTGACATGCCGGCGGTACGAGCAGACCAGAAGCTGAAGCGTGTAGAGGCCAAGCGAATGTTGCGAATGCACTGTAAGATCACGTCGACCTTTGAATCTTATTTGGCAACCGTTCTTCTTCTTCTGTATTTCAGATGCAGGTAAGAGGAGAGCTGTTCAGGGATAGTGAGAGATGATCGGTTTCCCGCCCCGCGTTTCACTGAGGCTGGCCTTGGTCGTCGCCTTGGTAGCCTTCTTGAAAGAGGGATTTGTGCCCGGATGCCTCGTGGTACAGAAAAGCTGCGCCCCGCTCTTCGAGCAACATCTGGCCATTCTCAGAACATGGGGCTTCCTTCTCTCGGTTGCCTGGGGGTCTTGCGGCTACGCCTTCCGCAAATCTCCCAGCACAAACCGCTGTCAGGGAACGCAAGACAAAAGAAAGACAGGACGACCCCACAGGAACCTGAAAGCAGGCTTTCGATGTAATGTATGCGGCCTCATCAGCCCATACCCTATCACCCTGGAGCATGGCCAAAGACACAGCAACAAGGTCCGACGGAGCTTCACAAAAAAAATCCGTCGATATGCTTTCCTCTTCCACCCATCGTTCCACGAGGGAAAGGCACTTTAGCTAGTCACCTTTCGGACGGGCTTGCCGTTAAACGCAATTATGTTTTGTTTTATCATCCCTCCAGGTTGTGTCTCAAAGCCGCATATACCGAGAACGCTTCGTCGGAGGCCGCGAGCCAGATTCACCGAGCACGGTTGAAGAAACCTTGGTGTCTTGGGTCATTGACACATCCCTGCCGGCTGGTCTCGCCTTGGAGGAGCTTATCGGATGGTCGAGAGTCAGCAGTACCATGGCTGGATTTCTTCCGCCTCAGGACGCTCTGTGTTGGAGCAGCGTGTGGCTTTGCAGGCACATGCTGCTTCTTCGTGTGTCAGTCACTGAAAGTTCAATCATTTCGTCATGTTCAGTTAAGTTCGGTCACCCATGGTTCAGTCAACTTTTCCCCAAGCCTCACAACAGCCAGCAGGCGAGCGCCCAACCGGTCTTCCCAAACCTCGATCTGGTAATCGGCTGTCCCAAGACAAGCTTTATCGCTGCACGAAGAACCAGTTGCTGTTCGCAAACCTAACTGATTGCAACCAACAACAAGGGATGCTCAGGGTAGGGTCATGTAGATTTGTGAGATGCATTCCTCTGGCACCCAAATCCGTGGGCAACCCTGAGGCAGAAATGTATCCGACACGTGCGACATTACCCGAAACTGCTTTCCACTTGCTTGGACCTCATGGTGCGTGGCGAGTTTGATGGCTGCAAGCTTGCAGACTCAGGCACGGGGGAATCAAAGTTGGCGAGCGAGATATTGGAACTTTGCTTGTCGGCGTCCAAAAGCATGGAGTTTCGGGGGTGTAAAGTGAAGCAAATTGAATGTGATGGCCGCTCACAGGTGTGTCCAGAGCCGAGACCCTGCGTGATCGAAGCGAAGACGTGTTGCATGGTCTTCTTCAGTGTCAGAGATTTTTCCTGCGACTGACCCGCGACTTCGAGGAAGTGGTCATTGACTCGCACGGAAATCACATCCCGCGTGTGGTCCGGGACAGCGCATGCTTTCTCTTCATGCGACCCATGTGCTGCACAAATCCGCTTCCGGCACAGGAGGACCTAACCATGCGGGAGTACTTGAACATAAGCAGGTCCCTGCAGACAGTGCGAGACTATGTCGCCAATCAAATCACCTGCTTTGCTTTCCCGTCGGCCGACATCATGCAGCTACAGTACCACCGCATGATGGAAGCTTGGGAATTCATAGTACCCATGGAGGAACACTTCGTATGGGAGCAATGGTGGAAGCGGAGCCATACCGAGGCCGCGTACGTTCCGGAAGGCTGTCATGCTGTCTTTTACCTTTATCACCACACTGGTATGATGGGGTATAGCGAAGCATCTGCTGAAAGTGTTGGCAGCGGGCTCAAGTTTTTTGGTCGAACGCGAACGTTGCAGTTTTCCAAGATCCGAGACAGGGTCAGGCTGCAGAACTTGAAGCTCACAGGCCTGCCCGCAGATGACGCTTTCATTACGCGGGTATGGTGCGCTTATTTCGGCGAACAGACTAAGTTCAGGTTCCTGGTGTCGCACAGAGCGACCAAGCAGCGAAAGCGCAAGTTCGCCTTGGGAGCTGGCTCTGCAGCAGCACATCGGCTGATTGTAAAGAGCTTGAAGAGACTCGGCAAGAAACCGGAACACTGATTGTTGTTTGTTTTATGCATTTGTTTGGGTAATACTTCGGGTTTTAGAATTTACAGGACGCCGAAATCTAGATATTGATAGCCCTTTGATTGTCTTTCTTCAAGTCCAAGTCGAGCTTCACAAATGCACTTTTGTGTTGTTTCATCTTCTGAGAATTTTCCTGGGCCCAGGAAAGAAAGCCTCACAGGCAAGGTCCGCAGGTCCAAGCTGGTATTGCGCGGCGGAGCAGCCTGGGAGCGACGCAGGACTCAAGAACGGCAAGGCCAATGAACGCAAAGATTGGCTTCGGAGTTGGGTTCAGCAGGCCATACTCGAAGGGTTCAAAGTTTAAAGTTTGAGAGTCCTTTCAGCCCGGCAGGCTGACAAGCGTTTTCGTGGCCTTGGCATTGGCGTGGCTGGGCAAGGTCTCATGTTCCAAAGATTTGGCCTTCGTGTTCTTCTTCGAGCAAATGTGCGCCAACATCGGGCCTCAGGCTAAGGCGCCTGCCGCCCGAGCATATTACACGTCCTTTGGACTTTGGTGAGTAGTCAGCATAGTCAGTCTGTCGTGTATATGACTACAACGCTACATGCTGGCAGATGTACAAACTCATGCCCTTCTCCAGATGCTGCACTCCGCGCCCTGGGGTACTTACTGGGTTGTTGGGGGTAGTCGTGCAGTGCTTTCTGGAGGAGTGCTAGGTCTCCGAGGCTCGGCGACGATACATACTCCCACCTCTTATGGTTGTTAGCTGCTGCTGGGCTTTTCTGTTGGGAGTATGTACTGTCCCTAGGGCCCTTCTTCTTTCAGTTCACGCTCGGACGAGTTCCCTGCCCTGCTGTGCAACATTGTTCAGCTGGGCGGGTGGCAAACAAGGCAAAGATTCCTTCGTTCGGCTGTGTGGAAGTCACAAAAAAGTTGCAGCCAGTCTGCTATAGCCTGCTTGTGAGTGCATCCTGCTGAAGGCCCCGACCCGAAACCTTCTCCTCCACTCTTAAATTTCCAAACTGAGCACGCCCGTTAGCCTCGACCATTGCCTTGGATTCAGAGACCCCTCATTCTAGAGACCTGATAGAACTCTCTCACTCAAGTACCCCTTACGTTACAGTCTATCAGTCCGATCCCGAACCAGTTTGCATACTGACAGCGCTGCAAACAAAGCCCGGCACCCGGGAGCAAAGCAGAAGACCCCGAAACTCCCAAGCCAATGTGGGTTTGATGGTACTTATTTGGGTTGACAGCTTAGGGTTGAGGTCTTGCTGTCCATGGGCTTCTCACCAGCTTGGTTCCTGAAAGTCGCCTAAGACAGGCAAGGCACAGGCATTTCGCGTCGCTTGCAGCCCCCGCTCTCGTATAAAGGAGTGTGTTATCGTATTTCAAAGCCTTCAACTTCAGGGCCTTCAGGGACTTGAGGATTCAATTAGACCGCTCAGTGCAAGTCATTTGTCTGCCCTCTACGTATGACAGATGACGTGTTTGCGCAACTCAGGATATTAGCCATCGTTACGAAGTGCTGATACGAGCTCGACACAGACGCAGAGTCGAATGAAGAGGCTGGAGATGTGGGGCAGTGAGCAGTGAGCCAACATACATCTGCCGGTTGCCGTTGCTTGTGAGTTGGCGTCCATTGCCCATTGTAGCAAATCCCTTCGGAGTCCAGGTGCCTTTCTTCTGGAAAATCTCCTTCTGCGCAGAAGACAGGGACGACCTGTGGCTGTTTCCTTCCTGGCTGCACCACTTGCTGGCCCCGGAATCCCCAGACAGATGCACGATCCAGCGTCAGTCGGTGCATGTGCCTCCTGCCTGGGTGCAGGGCGTGCTCCGAGGCCCAGGGGTCGGTCCGAGCAAAAGTATCCGGATCGCAAGACCCAGCGTCGTCGCCTTCGGCAACATCGTACTGCAACTGCTTTCAGCCTTCTTGTGCGACGTGCTTCCCAGCCGGCCCAGACACTGATGCTGAAGTGTCAGGGATGAGTACTCGTCGTATTATTGGTCCAAGCAGGCCCGGCTTGGATGGGTGGGCTGAATGGGCTGTGCGTACTCTCGGTGCTGAGGTGCACAATACGTGGAGCATAGGTTCCCTTTGCTCTGGTCTTGGCATGGATGTCATGGTAGTTGATGCCTTGAACAAAGCTCTCGGTGACAGAGGCCTCCATGGCAATGTCAGGCATGTTTTTCAGGCTGAGTTGGACAAGGAGAAGAGGTCATACCTCTTGAAGCAGCTTGGTTTGAATGATTCCCATGCACATGCTAACCGTTGCTCACCTCGATTCCTGTCATTGACGCTGGTGGCCCAGGCACCAACAAGTTCCTGCAGTCTTCGGAGATGTGTGCGAGGTTGCCACCGGGTCGTCATTTGAGCACCGGACGTGTCAGTCTCTGCAAGTACCTGGTTGTGATATTCTTGTGGCAGGGTACTCATGCAAGGATCTGTCCGGCCTGAATAACAAACCAGCTGCGATCCATGATACTTCACGAGGGTCAGGTCAGACTTTGCAAGCCGCTCTGTCATACGTCAGTCGCTATGAACCGGCCATCGTCGTCTTGGAGAATGTCAAGACTATGTACTGCGTCCGCTCCATGGACCAGGGTCAGAAACCTATGGCGTACCTCACAGCGCAGATGAAGTCCAAGGGCTATGTCGGCCCGGCTCCTCAGATGCAGCCAGAGGCACGAGTGAGAGCAGACTGAAATGTCCAGTGGTTTGCGCGTGCACAGATTCGCAGTGCGCGCCTCTGAAATTTAGGAACCGCAAATGTTGCTCAACAGCTTCGACTTCGGGCTTCCTCAGTCGCGGCCACGTGCCTGGATGGTTTTTTTCCACACTGGAAAGGTAAAGGGGGCGGAGACACTGGTGCAACGTCTTCCTGACCGAGTTTGCTCGCTTCGGCATCAACCACGTCCCCTGAAGGAAGTGCTTGCTGACGATGAAATGGATGTCGTGTCCGACTTCGCCTTCGTGACAGCTTCAAGCCCTGAAGTCCAGGATGCTCTACTCCAGGCAAAACACTCAGGGCCCAAGTGGGTGGACCTCCTGGCTGCCTTCATGGAAGAACACCAAATTTCAGAGCAGGAGTTGGGCCAGAAAATTGCTGAACTGTACCGGACACTGACTTCAACCACCTTGACCTCGATGCCAGCATCTTTCCGGCAATTCGTCGGTCGGTAGTGGCACCTTCCAGCACAGTCATTTCAACTTTCAACGGTAGGATTTCGTGCATATCGACTCGGACTGCAGAGGTGCGTGAACTCACTTTGCTGGCGTGCCAGCATATCTTGGTGCGACGTCGGCATGAAGATCCCATGGATTATGTTTTCCAGCTGAACATGTCACTCGAGCCTTGGAGAAAAGAAGTAATCAATCTGTTGTGGTCGACCGGTGGACCATCCTCTGTGTAGACCCATCCAAGGACAGGAATCGTATTGCGAAACATTATTGCCCATGTGTCGTGCCTTTCGGCAAGTTTCTTTGGCGTAGCAAGCTGTTAAATGGCTCTGACTTCCTTGCTTTACAGGGTTTGTCTGCTGCAGATGTACAGCGCCACGGCTTGCACACTGTCAGTTCCCGCATGCAAAAAGACATGGCAGGAAATGCTTTCAGTGCCACTGTATGCGGCTCTGTTTTGTTATCTTGCATCGTCCTTGTAGAGCAAGCTGATAAGAGTTTTGAACTCCAGCGGCTGCGTTGAGGTCAAAAAGGTTGCAGCCAGACTATTTGTGCATCCTATTGAACTCGACCCGAAACCCTCTCCACAACCTTGCAACCCATGGGTTTAACTACTTTGGGGGCACGTCGGTTCCGGCAACCCTGCACCCAAAGCCACGAACCTTAAGCCGTAACACTGAAATGGGAAAAGGAGGGACCCTTGATGGGGACCCCTACCCTATATTGGGCTATATAATGTGTATATAATAGCTATACTAAGGGTATATACCTAGGGGTCCTTATTAGGGGTCCCTCCTTTTACCCGTTGAAACACTCCTCCGTCAAGTCAGGAGCACCTTCGCTGACCAACTTGTGAAGTCGGGCGGTGGCCTCTTGGAGGAAGCAATCTTCAGCCTTGCTGTTAAGGCGTAGGGCTTAGGGTTGTTGCTGGTGGGAGTAAACATCAAGTCTGAAGTGCTCTAGACTCATAAGTACCATTATAAACCCACAGCCCCAGCCAAGGCACATACAACCGTACCCAACAAGCCCCACGAACCCCCAACCCGGAGGGCAGGGCGGCCATTCCACAGACTTACAAGTATCATAATCCCAACTAGGGTCCCTTGTAGATGATAAAGCCTACTTGTTACCTAGTTACTAAGTCCCGAGACCCTCCAAAAAGTATGTGGGTCGCAGGGAGGAATTGGGGACACCTGGGCTCGGAAACGGATGCACGGAGAGCTTTGGCCACAGTTTGGGGGCTTGAATACTTGCGAGCATATTTCCATGGGCTTCCCCTGTAGAATTTGAGATTCGAGTTGCTGGGTCAGTTTTTCGACCGCGAAGCCCTCAATCCTAAAATCCTGAAGCCCTTAACTTAAACCCTGAACCTTAGAACCCACAAAACCCTCAAAGCACCCTAATGTCATCCTGTGAATCAGAACCGCCTTTCAAAGCCCTGCGTCCTAAACTCACCAACATCAGAGGCCTGAAAAGGTGGGATGAAGGCAGCTTGGGTTGATGTTCGTGTTCAGGATCCCCTTCGACCTACGTTCATCCCAGCTTCAGAGCACTTTGACCAAAGCGGTCGAGGCTGGCATCGCATCTGCCAAGACGAGCTCTCTGGTCGGGATGAGTTCGAGAGAAGTATCGGGCCCATCGCGAAGGATCGCTTTTTGCAATTGTGGTTGTTTCCTGTTGTTGGGGTTATAGGTTTTCAGGGGATTTTTGTAGGGTTATAAGGGAATTAGGAGGTTTACATCTCCGTTCCCATACCGTATCGATGAGGGTTCCATGAAGGGGTTCGTTAAAGGGCTTTGGGGGCTACCTGACCTGCGGTTAAGATGCGATGAGGCTTCGCTTCCAGTAAAACCAGCCCCCACGTATATAACGAACAGGAACTCACAACAAGGAACCCCGGAAATGGCATCCCCCGACTGCTTTAAGGAACTCATAACAAGGAACCCTCAAAAAGGAGGTTTAATGGCCTAAGCCCTATAACCCTTAACCTGAAATCCTGGGCCCTAAAGCCCAAACCCTGGCTTAGGAGTAGAGTTGGCAACCTTTAACCTCTAGCGGCCCTCTGCAATCCCAAAGCTTAACCTTTAGTTCCCCTAGGACACTGGACAACCAAGCTTAAACCATAAATAATCCTAAACCCTAATGCCTAAACCCCAAAGCCTGAACCCCAAAGCTTGAACCGTAAATCCGTAATTCCCGAAGCCTAAACCCTAAACCCTAAAGCCTAAATCCTAAACTCTAATTCCTAAAGCCTAAACCTTAAATCCTAAACTCTAACTCCTGAAGCCTAAACCTTAAAGCCTAAACTCTACTTCCTAATGCCTAAACCTTACTTCTGTGGGAGGACAGCCGGCAGCGTCTGATCCTGGATCGAACCAACGTGGTGAAGAGCGACCGCCAGCGCCGAATTCAGGGAGAGATGGTTGGTTTCGACTGGACTTACTGGGCTGGGTTTCGGTTTAGGGTTTGGGGTTCAGGGTTCAGGAGGGTTTGGGGTTCATGTTTAGGGTCAAAAGGGCCTTGTAAAGCTTTACGGAGCCTTACAGAACACTCATGAGAAAGCTATAGAGGCCTATGCAACCTGGCTGGTAAGCTTGTAAGATCCGGTAAACCCTCGCATATAGCCCACAGATGAGTTTCCTTCCTCAACCCCGAACCCTAACCTAAACTATGCGCTTAAAAAACCTTCACGGCTAAACCCTCAACGTTCAACCCGGAGTCCTTTAACCCCACTCCCCAAAACACTAAAGCCCTAAACACCAATATCCCGAAAACCACCAAGGGTGCTTCTTAGCCGAAACTTTATAAAACCTTATCAAGCCTGATAACTAACGCCTTTTAAAACCTAGTAAGCTTAATGTACGAGGCCACATGCGAACTCCCTAAACCCTAAACCCCCAGAGCCCTCAAGAAGCCCCTCGACCCTACCCCTCACAGCCCCAAAACCACCCCAAAAAAGCGCAATGACCTCATACAGCCCACCAAACCCTAAACCCTAAACCCTAAACCTTATAATCGCATAAAACCTACACAACCTCACACTACCTAACTCCCCAAGAACCCAAAGCTGACTAAACTCCAAAGTCTTTAAACCCTAAACCTCAAACCTTAAACCCTAAACCTTAAACCCTAAACCCTAAACCCTAAACCTTAAACCCTAAACCGAAAAACCCCGAAACCCTAAACCGTAGGATCCCAAACACCCCGGAAACCCCAGAAAAAGGTGCTTCCTGAGCCTCGCTTTCAATCCGAAGTCGGCGGTTCTCTGCCTCAGCCGGGCTTTTGGTTTAGAGGATTATTAGGTTTTTCAGGTCTTATGACAAGTCGATGCGGCTTTAATGTGTCTTTCAAGGTCTATTAGGAGTTTCGCAAGGTTTGTCAGGGATTTTCCGAGTTTGATTAGGTTGTTCGGGGTTTGCGTGAGTTTCATAAGGCTTTCCAGGGCTTATCGGAGTTTTACAAGATTTGGTCTAAGGTTTGTCGGAATTTCGAAGGGTTGTTCAGGGTTTATGGAGTTTTAGATGGTTTTCATGTCTTGTCGGAGTTGTACAAGGTATTTCATGGTCAATTAGGATTTAAAGGCTTGTTGAGGGAATAGAAGTGTTCTAGACGAGTATCAAAATCTGTGTTCAGGCTTTCTCAAGGGTTCATGGCCTAGCGTTTTGGGGCTTTCGGAAGAGAAGGTCTTGGACTATGTGGGTGGGGTTTAGAGGGCCTTTGTGGAAAAAAGCAGCCAGTTTGTGTTGAGGGGTCCTGCAGTT